AAAATATATGGAAACAAATGACAACGAAAATACAACAATCCAAACTCTATGGGGTGCGGCAAAGGCGGTCCTAAAAGGAAAGTATATCGCACTACAGGCCTATTTCAGGAGATTGGAAAAAGCGCAGGTACAAAATCTAACAGTGCACCTAAAGGAACTATAGGGAGAGTAACAGGAACACTCCAAACCCAGTAGGAGAAGAGAAATAATAAAAATCAGAGCCGAAATAAACAATGTAGAAACGAAAGAAACAGTTGAAATGATCAACGAAACCAAAAATTGGTTTTTTGAAAAAATAAACAAAATTGACAAACCTCTAGCCAGGCTTTTCCAAAAGAATAGAGATAACAGTGAATTACACAAATTCATGAATGAAAAAGAACTTTTTGCAACAAAACCATCAGAAATATAAGCAATTATCAGGGAATACATTGAAAAAGTATATGCCAACTAACTAGACCACTTAGAAGAAACGGACAAATTCCTAAACACACACACTCACTACCAAAATTCACACTGGAAGGGAAAGAAAATCTGAACAGACACATCAATAGTAGGGATATCGAATCAGTTATCAAAAATCTCCCAACAAATAAGAGCCCTGGGCCAGAGGGCTTCCTTGGGGAATTATGGCAGACATTAAAAAGATAATTAATACCCATAATTTCCAAGCTATTCCAAAAAATACAAATCGAAGGAAAATTTCCGGACTCATATTACAAAGCCAGCCTCACTTTGTATCCGAAGCATGACAGAGATCGAGCAAAAAAAGAGAACTACAGGCCGATATCCTTGATGAACACGGATGTAATTATCCTCAACAAGATACTTGCAAACTGAATCCAACAGCACACAAAAGGAATTATCCACCATGATCAACTGGGATTCAATCCTGGGTTACAGGGCTGGTTCACTATTTGCAATTAAATCAATGTGATACATCATATCAACAAAATAAAAGATAAAAAAACATATGCTCCTGTTGATAGATGCAGAAAGCATCTAAAGCATTTAAAAAATACAACACACCTTCTTACTAAAGACCCTTGAGAAGGACGGGATAGAAGGAATTTACTTAAACATCATAAAAGCCATCTATGAGAAGCCCTCCCCTAACATCATCCAAAACAGGGAAAAAAGTGGAGGCTTTCCCTGTGAGATCAGGAACGTGACAGGGATGTCCACTCTCACCACTGTTGTTTAACGTAGTGCTGGAAGTCCTAGCATCAGACATAAGACAACAAAAGGAAATTAAAGGCACCAGAATTAGCAAAGAAGAAGTCAAACTTTCACATCTCATAGACGACATGATACTCTACATAGAAAACCCGACAGACTCCACCAGAAGCCTACTAGAACTTGTCCGTTAATGCAGCAAAGTTGCAGGGTACAAAATCAATATACAGAAATTGGCTGCATTTTTATACAAAAACAATGAAGCAACAGAAAGAAAAATCAATTGCACAATTGCACAAAAAACCCATAATATACCTAGGAAGTAACATAACCAAGGATATAAGAATATAAGAGGTCTGTATGATGAAAACAATAGAAAACTTAGAAAGGTAATTGAAGAAGAGAAAAATAAATGGAAAAACATTCCATACTCATAGATTGGAAGAATAAATATACTTAAAAAGTCATTAGTACTCAAAGCAATCTACACATTCAATGCAATACCAGTCAAAATTGCACCAGCATTCTTCACAAAACTAGAGAAAACTATCCTAAAATTTGTATGGAACCACAAAAGACCCTGAATAGCCAAAGTAATATTGAAGAAGAAAACGAAAACAGAGAGCATCACCATCCCAGACTTTAGCCTCTACTACAAAGCTGTCGTCATCAAGACAGTATGGAATTGGCACAAAAAAACAGACATATGGGCCAATGGAATAGAATACAGAACTCAGAATTAGACTCAAAAGTATACAGCCAACGAATCTTTGACAAACCAGGATAGAGTATCTAGTGGAAAAAATACAGCCTCTTTAACAGATAGTGTTGGGAGAACTGGACAGCAACATGTAGAAAATGTAACTAGATCATTTTCTCACACCATACAAAAAATAAATTCAAAAAGGATAACGGACATGAATGTTGAGACAGGAAACCATCAGAACCCTAGAGTATAAAACAGGAAACAATCTCCTTGACCTCCACCGCAGCAACTTCGTACTTGACATATCCCCAAAAGCAATGAAATCCAGAGCAAAAATGATCTATTGGGACCTCATCAAGAATAAAAGCATCTGCACGACAAAGGAAACAGTCCATAAAACTAATAGGCAACAGATGGAATATGAAAAGATAGTTGCAAATGACATATCAGATAAAGGGTTAATATCCAAAATCTATAAGGAACTCACCAAACTCTACACCCGAAAAACAAACAACCCAGTGAAAAAGAGGGCAGAAGATATAAACAGACACTTCTCCAAAGAGCACATCCAGATGGCCAACAGACACATGAAACGATGCTCAGCATCCCTCCTCATCAGATAATACAAATCAAAACTACACTGAGATGCCACCTCACGCCAGTCAGAGTGGCTAAAATGAGCAAATCAGATGACGCTAGATGCTGGCAAGGATTTGGAGAAATGGGGACCCTTCTACACTGTTGGTGGGAATGTAAACTGGTACAGCCCCTCTGGAAAACAGTGTGGAGGTTCCTCAAAAAATTAACAGTAGAACTCCCCTAGGACCCAGCAATAGCACTGGTAGGAATTTACCCAAGGGATACAGGGGTGCTGATGCATAGGGGCACATGTACCTCAATGTTCATAGCAGCCCTTTCAACAATAGCCAAAACATGGAGAGAGCCCAAGTGTCCATCAAATGATGAATGGATCAAGAAGATGTGGTTTATCTATACGATGGAATACTACATGGCAATGAGAAGGAATGAAGTCTGGCCATGTGTAGCAACATGGATGGACCTTGAGGGTGTTATGCTGAACGAAATAAGTCAGGCAGAGAAGGACAAATATCATATGTTTGCACGTATAGGAGGATTAGGAGGAACTTAACTGAGGAACAAGGGGGAGAAAAGGGGGGAAGTGGTGGGGGAAAGGGAGAGAGACAAACCATGAGAGACTCTTGATTTTTGAGAACAAACTGAGGACAGATGGGTGGGGGGGAGGGAAGAGATGAGCATGGAGGAGGGCACTTGTGGGGATGAACACTGGGTGTTATATGTAAACTAACTTGACAATAAACTATTTATGGGAAAAAAAGAACAATGATAGAATCAAACTAGAAAAAAAAAAGCTTCTGCATGGCAAAGGAAAAAATCCATAAGACAGACAACTGTCGGATTGGAAAGATATAGTTGCAAATAACATATCAGACAAAGGGATAATATCCAAAATCTATAAGGAACTCACCAAAACCACACTTGAAAACAAACAATCCAGTAAAAAAGTTATTTTAAATAAAATCTGAACAGAGGACCATGGGGGAGAAGAAGGAGGGAAATAGTGGGGGAAAGGGAGGGAGGAAAACCAAGAGATTCTCTTGAATGCTGATTAAATACTGATGGGCTGATGGGCTTAGCGGGTGAGGGGGAAGATGGGCATAGAGGAGGGCACTTCTGGAGATGAGCACTGGGTGTTAATGGAAACCAACTTGACAATAAACTATTAAATGAATAAAAAATAAATAATGACTTTCTTCACCTCACTGCCCCACATACTTATGAACATCTTCATAACAATCTTAAGCCTTAATCGTGTTTTAGTTATATTCCCAATTTTTAAATAAGCTTCTATTTACATCTAATAATAAAAACAACTTATCAGAACAGGAAAAACTCCTACAGTGGTGTATATTCGATCCTCTGCCTCTACTTCACGTTGGATGTTGTGGAAAGCACATAAATCACACATTCTTTAAACTTCACATCTACGTTACAAGGCTAAGAAGAAAGTTTATTGAAATACCAGACACTGGAACAATTCTGAGGAAATAAAGCCACTTAAAATATAACACTTTGTGACAATAATTCTTGCAAAGTCGCCAACCATTAAATCCAATGACTCCTGATACAACCTACAGCATGGTTGTATTGACACGGATTTATGCTGAGCAGAATAAGCCCTACAAATAAAAGTTCATATCATATAATTACACATGTACACATTCTCTAAAACCAAAAATAATCTGAAGAAACATGAGAAAGATTAACAGTTCCATGGGGACAGGGTGAAGAAAGGAACTAGGAAGGAAGAATTCCAGGGGAACTATAAGAGATTTTCATCAGAATTATGTGTTCAGTCTTGATCATGTTGAATCACTTCAGTGTTCTTTCATATCACACACTCGTCATGTGCACCTCACTCTATGTCAGGTACATTCATCAAAGCTCTTACAAATAAACACAGAGATTACTCAGTAGGCACACAATGATGTGACATGGTAAAGACTTAAAAATACACCTGCACTGACCCTGATTCTCTCTCTATTTAAGGTCAACTCCAGAGCAAGCAAAATCATCATGGACCCAGTACAGAAAGTGTTCCACATTCCTCAGGAGCCCGGCTGCTCAGGCCTGCAGGTGGACTGAGGGAGGTCGTACGTCCTGTAGGAAGGAGCACCGGCCCAGATCCTGGGCTCACTCTCACCACATACGTGCACTTGGCCACCTCAGCCTCTACAATTTGGTTGTAGGTTCACATCTCCTTATAGGATATGATGACACCTATACCCCACAAGTAGTGTGCAAATGTAAAACCAAAGTCAATATGGGGCAAAAGAATGATCTCTGGAAAATGATAATAACACATTTTATTTATCCAAAAGCTATCAATACACCAAATTAAAGAGATTTACATCTGCTCAGGCCACTGCCCTCTTTGTAACGACTGAATACATAGCTGCTTATATACGCAGAGGACATGCAAATCAGACCCTCCCTGTCCTGATTAAACCAGCCCAGCCCTGACCCTGCAGCTGGGAGAGGAGCCCCAGCCCCGGGAGTCCCAGGTGTTCCCATTCTGTGATCAGGACAGAACACAGACATCACCATGGAGTTTGTGCTTGGCTGGGTTTTCCTTGTTGCTGTTTTAAAAGGTAATTCATGGTGAACAAGAGACACTGAGTGTGTGATTGGATATGAGTGAGAGAAACACTAGTTGTGTGACAGTTTCCTGATCAGGATGTCTTGTGTCTGCAGGTGTCCAGTGTGAGGTGCAGCTGGTGGAGTCTGGGGGAGGCCTGGTGAAGCCTGGAGGGTCCCTGAGACTCTCCTGTGCAGCCTCCGGATTCACCTTCAGCAACTTCTACATGAACTGGGTCCGCCAGGCTCCAGGGAAGGGGCTGGAGTGGGTTGCAGATATTAGTGGTAGTGGAAGTAGCACAAGCTACGCAGACTCCGTGAAGGGCCGATTCACCATCTCCAGAGACAACGCCAAGAACACGCTGTATCTGCAGATGGACAACCTGAGAGTCGAAGACACGGCCACGTATTTCTGTGCGAGAGACACAGTGAGGAGTCATCAGTGTGAGCCCAGACACAAATCTCTCTGAAGAAGGGGATCAGCACCGCCAGGGGGCGCACACTATGCACAGTTCAGGTTTATATTCCCAGGAGCAGGGACACATGGACATTACAGGCAGGTTTCCCGTCAGGGTCTGGGGCTTCCTCCCCATAGAATACTTTCTCCCAGGGAGCCCTTATGGACACATGATTTTGTGCTTAACGTTCAGTCTCTGAATGAGATACCTGGAATAGGAAACGTATACGAACATGCACAGAAGACAGAGGTTTTGGCACTAGCTTAATCCTTGCCACTAGAAATGAATTTATTACACATATCTTGAAGAACATCAAATGAAGCATTACAAGATTCCCTGTCGCTCTCACTTTCTTTTTTTTTATTATTATTATTATTTCTAGGAGAGAGAGAGAGACAGGGTGGGGTGAGCAGGGGAGGGTCAGAGAGAGAGGGAGACACAGACTCAGAAACAGTCTCCAGGCTCTGAGCTGGCAGTCAGCACAGAGCCCGACGCGGGGCTCGAACCCACGAACCGCGAGATCATGACCTATGCGAAAGTAGGACGCTTAACCGACTAAGCCACCCAGGCTAAACTATTTTTTAAAAATGTATTCATTTAAACAAAATAGTGGATATATTGTCTAGTTTTAATGCACTTCTTTCTCTAGAAACCTTGATATGACTCCTCTTTTGAAAATCACCGATGACGGGGCGCCTGGGTGGCTTAGTCGGTTGAGCGTCCGACTTTCGCTTAGGTCATGATCTCGTGGTTCGTGGGTTTGAGCCCCTCTTCGGGCTCTGTGCTGACTGCCAGCTCAGAGCCTGGAGCCTGTTTCAGTCTGTGACTCCCTCTCTCTCTGACCCTCCCCTGCTCACGCTGTCTCTAAATAAAAAAAAAATTTAAAAAAAATCACCGATGACATATATATGCTAATGGATAAATAATTAGATTGTGTGCTTCTATAATTTTTATTGTAATTAGTTGCATAACTGATACTGCATTTTAAATCTGACATTAGGTCACATATGTGTATTTAACATATGAATTTATGATGCAATATCAGTTATCAAAACAACTCAACATAACAATTAGCTTTGGATTATCAGTTGAAATATCATATTCCCATTTTGAAATATTTTATAATTTGTACAGGTACCAGAATATAATCTAGATCATATAGTGCATTAAAATGCATTTATTTTTTTCTGAATTGAAGATTTTAACTTCTTTCTCGTAACTCTTTGGCAATGAATTTATTTCAAAGATAAATATCATCTATTTCAGATATTCCTTTTGATTAAGAATTTATCCCATAATTCCCTTATAGATGTACAACATTTGAAAAACTAATGGCATTTTCACTGCAACTCATGTCTAGAATAGACACGTGCAGATGATCTTGTAAATTGTACATGCATTGTGTCTCCATGCATGTCATTTGTCTCAAAGACACATGATTGGAGAAAGTACTAAACCGTCATCTGTATCATACACTCCACCTTCCAGAACACGCAGATAATCATACTTTCCCAACAACTCCTGCAATTATGGTGCAGCCACATCCCATGTTTCCGACAAGGATGCCTCCAGAAATATCTGGGACGGCGGACAAGCTGGCTGCCCCAGCCACCTGCTCAGTAAACTACAGAAGGACATGAAGAGAACTATGGAGGAACAATGGCCTTTCTGCCTTTTGGACCCAAGTGTTGAAGACGCAGACATATCCAGTTAATTCCATAAGTATGCTGGCAATGTGAGTTTATCTTCAGGCTAAAATTGAGTAGGGACCCTAGGGGATTGAGAACACACATGCCACACCCACTATTTGATAGAAGTCTACATCCAGCACAGGGCGATGTGCATTCAAATCTAGTGCTGGTGTCTGTGCTGAAAAGCAGAATGTGGCTGAATCCAGAGCCTAGGGTGGTGAAGGGGAGGAAGAAATTCTCTTCCATCAAAGGTTCTTATGGACAAATAATTAAGTTCACGGGAGATGGATTAACAGGAGAAACAACCCAAAGATTCATTACATGTGCACAGAAGTCCAGTAAAGAAAATCAGACCCAAAGAAATGAGTAAGTCAGATAATTCTATACTTTTTAGAGAAGGAAGAAACAAATATGACAATAAGCTATTTGAAAGAAATAAATAAACATTAAATTAAAAAGATGTTATGCTAATAATCAAAGAAAGAAAGAAAGAAAGAAAGAAAGAAAGAAAGAAAGAAAGAAAGAAAGAAAGAAAGAAAGAAAGAAAAAGAAAAAGAAAATAATTTTCCCAGAACTAATATGAAACCAATCCTGACATACGACACTCAGGACATCAGGGCGGCTGAGGTATTCAGGGGGAACCCGGACCTCAGAGCTCATGTCCAGAACTGATACTGTTTCACCATCAGTTTCCTGTGGAGCGTCTTGATCATCATGTCCTGCAAACTTCATCGTGACCAGCAAACTTTACAAACTCTTTTCTAAAACCTTTACAAACACAGTTGTCGTTTCATGTTTACAGTGAACTTTTATAATAGTAATGCCTACTTTGACACTGACCAAATTCTGGGATAAATCAACTCATTTAACCAAGACCAGTGCCTTTGTGCATTTACAAGTACGGTGGCCACTATTTAAAAAATGTATAAAGTAATTTTCAAACAGAGGAAACTGACTCATATCAAGTGATCTAAATTTCATTTATTTCAGCCACTACTGACTCTTTTATCTTCTTTAAGGTTTTCCTTTGATGTCTATGAAGACAAACCGTGAGTAATGACCCTTGTGGTTGTGGAAACCCCACAGCATCTCCATCAGCCTCATGACTCTCTCTCAAGGTTTCTCAGTATCTCCATGCTCTGTGAGAGAAAAGAGTTGTTTTCTGCACTTTACTCCTTTTGTACTCCCTCCAGATTAGGAATCCATAGACACCTAGTAAAGAGTGGGAGGAGGCGCCAATATCGTTGTTCACATTGAGACCAGTCTCACAAGACTGGCAACCAGGGGTCCATTTTTCTGGAATAGTAAGAATGGTTCACAAGACACACCTTTCCCCTGCACCTGCCTCTCCCCACAACATGAGGCCCAGAAGTTCCTCACACTCAGCTGGAAATGAAGTCAGATATAAGGGACCAGATTTGGAATTCCATTTAATGGTTTATTTTCACCAGGCTCTTTTCCATGCAGCTACACTATGTTGTACACCCATCAAGAATAGTCCAGAATTTCCTGTCCTGCATATCCTCACCAACATTTGATATGTTGTCAATGTATTTGTTTTGGTTTTAGAATACCCTTGCTAACAGCTGTGATGTGATAGCTCAGTGGTTTGGGGGTGGATTTTTCTGATGGTTAGTGATGTTGAACATCATGTCATGTGCTTGATGGACATTTGTCTATCTTTTGTAGAGAAATGGATATTGACATTCTTGGTCCAATTTTGAGTGTGTGAATTTTTGATGGTGTAGGTCGATTTTGGTTTCCAGGCATGGGTATTTTGGATATTAACTCCATTTCAATATATTTGAGCATCATTTCCACCATTTCTTAGACTCTCTTCTTGCTCTGCTAATATTTGCTCTACACCCTCTCTAGTTTGATGGACTCCCACTTATCTGCCTTACCTTTTGTTCTTTGTGATTTTGCTTTTATAGGAAAGAAATCACTGTCATGTGAATGTCATGACAATCTTCCTTTGTGTTTTCTGCTAAGGCTTTTAGGGTCAGGTGTTTTGCTTCATCTTTAATCCACCTTAGGGTTTTCTGTGTGTATGTACCTTATGATGTAAAATTATGGCCAAATGTCATTATTTTGCACATAGATATCAATGCCATTTTTCAAAGACAGTATCCTTTCCCCATGTATTGAGGGAAATCTTATGAAAGATTTGCTCACTGCGTCTGCACACTTTTACTTCTGGAATCCATAATCTGCTCCACTGGTCTATATATCTCACTTTATGCCAGCAGCACACTGCTGTAGCGAATATTCCTCTGCAATATATTTAGAAAGGGGGAAGTGTGATGTCTGCACTTTTACTCTTCTCTCTCATGATTGGTTTCTTAATTCCACTGGGTTGGGTTGTTACATAGGAACTGGGATATTCTTCCTTTCCTTCCAAAAGGTCATTGGTAATTTTATTGACTCAAATAACAGAATGACAAAGCAGAGAAAAGTAGAAACTCTCATAAATAGGTAAAAAATCAACTATATTAAAATTAGTATTTGAGGGAGAAGAGAAAAACCTCGGCTTGGAAAGAGAGTGTTTTTTAGTTCTGGCTGGGGTGCTGATTTTCAACTAGGTGCCCCCGTTCCCTGAAGGTCCCAGAAAAACTGCACTTCAGCGGTCCCGGCGCCATCCTTGGTGACAACTGGCAGGTGGCGTGGAGGCCCCATCCCTGGAGGTGGTGGCCCCAACAGCACCCATGGCACTTGGCCACAGCGCGAACTCTGCGAAGATGAAGTTGCTACTTCCCTGAATGCACTCTGGTTGTATTGCATCTCGACCACAGCGGATCTGAGGCTGCGACACTTCACCCTCCCCCCACTCAACCCCTGGCACAGGGAAGCAGGGAACTATTGGACTGTTCAGGACGGTATAAACAAAGCCCGTGGTCTGGGACATTGAAGCGAGACGGGTCATGGGGCATGGAACTCAGCCCACCTTGGCTACATCCTCAGCCCAGGGAGATTTGACCCAACGGGGTGACTTGCAACACTTTGTTGAGAAGGGACTGGGGCGACATCATTCTTCTCCCCACAACCAACAAGGCGGGGCCTCAGGGGGCTGCCAGAGAACACAGTGGAGGGGAGAACTGCCTACACCAAACCACACCAATCCCCGCCTGAGAGCTGTTTTGTTGTTGTTCTTGTTATTGTTTTTACCTGAGCCTGGGTTTGCGTGTTGATTGGTTTTCTCTGTGCATTGGTGTATCTTCGTTCCCTATGGGGTTGTCTCTTTTCCTTTTCCAGGGCTACCTAAAGAAACAAGCCAAAGTACACATGGTGGAGAGTCCAAATACCTCTACAAGTAGGGAAACA